TCATCTTGTTAGGGAAATAATTGTCCTAGACTCCTATATATGATGTGCATGACCAACCCTGACGTCTGTTATCTCCTTTAAGGAGATAGGCTGCTTCAGCCATAATGTTGTTGTTCCCATTCTATGACCGGGCAACCCTAGCTCATAGATGGTTTATTGTTGTGGGCACACTGGGACACTTCCTTCTCGGTGTTTGTGGACTCCAAGGTGTGAAATCTTCGAGGCCATAAGTGTCAGACGCAAGTAACTCAGTGTTCCCAACTGTTTAGGCTATCTTCTCAATGTTGATTACTCTCTGTGAAACCAGTTAAATGGGCTAATGAGAGAGACTGCTGTGACTTGTGACGTGAATCCTCCGGCCGAACCTCCTAAATAAACCATCAGTGTTTGACATCAAAGCTCCTGCTCTTCCCGTGTCTCCTTCATGAGTCGGTGACTCCCACTGCATTGCTACATAGAAGTTTTCCCCACAGGAACCAATTTGCTTGTACTGCATTTCCTCCTTAAAAACCCTGAAGATTGTTCAATGAGCTTTTTCGTCAGAATATCTTTTCACAGTTCGGGAAAACATGAAAGCTTTCACTTACCACATCCAGAATGGCATAGAGCAGCACTTCCAGAGAAACCTGTGTGGGGCGCTTGTAGTTTTTAACGGGGCGGGTCATTGAGTACAGCTCATTGGTTTTGGTCAGCTGCAGGTGGTTCAAAACATCCTGATAACTGCAGTTATTCTCAGGTAACACCCCATCTACAGCAAAAACATCAAGACATTCAGAAAATGACTCATTACATAATAAGGTAATGTGGAAACATGCTCCACATTACTGTTTGTCTGGACATTCAGAGAAAAATGACATTATTCTCTGTGGGTAGGTTTTCATTGCTTCTGAGTGTATCATCAAACCAGAAATAAACACCAGCTCACAAATATCTGCAGCAATATCCTGTGGTTGTGGTCACTGAAAGGCCATTACGAGATGGGCGTTGGCAGAACTGCAGGGGTTTTATCCAACCAGTCCACTAATGACTTTCGAAAGTGATCATTATTACACTAATTCAAGTTTAAATGGGGCTCTCCATCAGAGAGATATCTGCTATTAACGCCAAATTGCATGTTGTTGAAATCATGCACCCTTTTCCGGCTCATATCCCGGTATATAAACCTAATTGTGTAAGCAAAGTTCTCAAAGTACACTGTTTTTTTTTCTTTTAATGTTCCTATAATAAGCCATTTTTTAAATGTCATTAAAAAAGAAAACAAATTATATATTTACAATTTTGATATGCTTACTTCCTTTCTTTCTTTCTTTTTTTAGTACATTTTGGTATTACTCTGGAAACCGAAAAAAATGCTCTTTAAATGAGCAGAACCAGAGGACAGTCACTACATAAATAAACAGGCTTACCTGTGAGGAAGAGCAGAAAGATGAAACCAGTAAGCATCATGGCATCAACAACTGTGAGAATCCAAACAGAGTGAGATGTCTGCACAGGTAATGTCGTCCTCTCAGTACTGTCTGGAAATGTCCCCAAGTCTCCCACATACCGGATGATGCTGATGTGTCACATTATTATGACAGCCAGACGTGGTCACTCCCACAGTGGTCGTCCCAGAATTCATCTGTGTTCTCATAGAGGAAAAAGAGGCTGGAAACTAAAGTGGACTGTTATGATGTTTAAGTAAGTAAGTGACTAATAAACACTTTGCATACTCCAGACAATGTAATACATATACAAATACATATACATACAAGTCAGTAGCACCTAATTTAGTATAAAGTTAGTACTATTGATAACATTATATACACTTGATGATAATGTTTTAAAATATCTGTTACCATTTGTTTGAAAAGGGCATTTGAATACACTTAATTCAAGATAACACTTTTCATAAAAATACATGTTGGTTTTTATTTTTGTGATCTTCAAATAAGAGTAAAGTTCTGGAGCTACCTTCAAAGTGAAATCACTGCTTAATTATCAGATTTGTAATCATCGCATTTGAAGAAACAGAACATTTAAAGGTCCCCTATTATACTGTTTTTCATCAATATATATATTTCATCAATATATTATAGGTGTCAGATATACAGAACATGTCTCTGAAGTGTGTTTCAGCCCTGTTTCAAAAGTGCTGATTCTCTGTCTGTTACTTTAGATGAAAATAAGGAGCCCTTCCCCACACCCCTCTGAGAGATATTTGGTTAAAAAGAACACAATGGTGCTTTAGGAGGAGATTCAGGTGATAAGGTGGGGGGGTGTTACCTTGGTTGGTGATTGGCTAATGGTTACACAAGCCAAAACAACGTTATGACATCATAAAGTGGCCAAAATCTGATCAGATCATTTTCAGACAGGTTTTTATAGAAATGGATCAGGAGAAAAAGAGAAAGAATCTTTGTTCCTGGAACTTTCAGAATCTCTTTACACAGAGGGGACACATATTTATGTATAAAAAACATGAAAAAGTGGATTTTGCATAATAGGTGACATTTAAGGAGATATTGAGAATCCAAAGCATAAGAAAAGGATGAGCTCACCCTCTTGTGGCGGCACACATACTCAGCCAGAGGACGCTGTTGGGGGGAAATCTGGTGAAAGAAGTCAGGTACACATTAGAACTATTAATTGACTTGATGGATACAGTATTTTTTTTATTTCCTGTTAGTGTAATCATTCAAGAAAGGATTGATGATGTCAAATGAAGGAATGTTTTTTAGGAAGTGTCTGATTAATGATTATAGGGCATAATGAAATGATTGGATACAAAGTTCTCTTTCAATTCTTCTGTTATATATTGTGGACCTTTTATGCTTATCATACTCTTTTTCTATTAATCATGTAAACCTAAGAACATTAATAGTGATAGAGTAATTACTTTTTTCCCATTTGACTAATTAGCTATAACTTTGTTCCTTTCAATTTGTTTTATGAATAGTCGACGGCCACACTGGGAGTTCTGTGAGGTCCTAAAATTAATCAAAAACAATAATTGGTTTGCACATTCCCTCTAGATTATGTTATTGTGATGTGACCACACTATGGTTAAATACAAAATATGTTATTTTGATAGCAAAAGGGATTTCTCAATCCATACAAAAATAAAAGACAATGTTTGGTGGCACCATGAACTAATGTAAGACCATGGGTATTGTTTTACTCACCAACAGTCTGCTTCTGCCGGTTAGACTATTTCTTTTAAAACTAATTAAAACAGTTGAAAACAATTAATGAAGCAGTTTCACTTTAAAAATAAGTGTTTCTTGACTGCTGTAAAGCTGCTGCTAACACTGAAACCAGTTTTCATAGTGTCTTCCCGTTATAGTTATAGAGGCTGAAACAAAACAAGTGGTGTAATGAGGCAACAAAAGTGAGCCATCACTTATGTCATTATCTATAATATGTTGTGCTGCTTTGAAAAGTCAAATTGTCTGCTGTGATAAGGTCTACAGTTGAGATATTTCAGTCTGGACTAAAGTGATTGATGTGCCAACATTGCCTGCGAGCATGACAAAAAAAATATCCACTATGATTCGATGTGCTGAAACAATGTCCTGAGGGGACTTCTGAGCGATGAGTGTGCACATAATTTTGTCGGCTCTTATTATTTAACACCCTCCTTTCTGATTGCATTTATAACATAAAGGATATCAGGCTGGTGGGGACGGCCATGATTAGTTTAAAGTGTCGGAGTGACAGATGGGCTGTGAGGTAAAAGTAGACAAACAGGACATGGGGGTAAGATCCATTGCTCTGAGTTAAAAAAAAGAAAGGATGTCCGTGATGGATGGAATTGGAGACTGTAAAGTCTCTCTTTATTCTCTTACATCGGTTGCCCTTGTGACTGTGGTGACTACATCGAGGTGCATCACCGGACACAGCTGCACTTTCATTAATACAGTTAGGTAGTGAGTGACGTGGGGGTGGGGACAGGTGGGCAGAGGTCTGGTGACAGCAGGGCTAAAGAGGAACAGGGGAAACTAATTAGGGCGCAGCAGCCAATCAAAGAACGCTAAATACATCTGTGGATTTAGATTCAATTACTTTATTCTTTCCATTTTAAGACATGTACAGGTCCTAATAAAAATCTATTATAGCTTACAAATTGATATTTCATTGTCGAATGCTGAGTCTCAATTTGCACATTTACTGTATGTACTGACATTTGCTGCTTTGAGTACACAAGTATGGCAAAATGCACTATGATGGTGCATTTATAATGGGCTACCAGTGAATGAAGCAAGTTATACATGTATCCAAATTGAGACACAGCTTATGATTCCAGAAGGTTTAAAGCAGCCATTGTTTGAATCGAAATTCAAAAATGTAGATTTTACTTTCACGCTTTCTTTAGTTTACAGCCCTATTCAAAGTCCATGCCTTAAACTGAGCAACTGGTAAAAATGTATTAAGCTTTTAACAACAGTATAATTCTTTGCAAGACACATTTACAGAATCATGTAACTTTACTTTCAAACTGGGAAAAGTCATCTAATTTGAACTACATAAAATAGATATGACAAAGCGATACTATAAATACAGAATGTGTGATTTTATAAGAGCACGACAATTGTGGAAATAAGGGTAAAACACAGAAATCTATGGTATTACAAAGTATTATTTTTCTTGTCTGTTCCACTCGATGAAGATGAGGGATAGAAACAGTGACACAGCAGTGAGATAGAAAATAAAGAAAGCTCTGTTGATTCTTGCCGCCCATTGGCCGCACTTCCCCACTTGGTGTCTGCAGTTCAGGTGTAGATTCAGAGTGTGCTGCAGCTCCTTCAGCTCCTCCAGGATCAGCAGCAACACGTGAGACTCTCGCCACTGAATGCTGTTGTTAACCTGCAGGAGTCCCAGAGTCATGTTAGAGTGGTTTCATGGTAATGTACTACCAGCAGGGTGGACAAAGTGCATGTTATCACACAGGATAAACACAGGTTTAATAGTGTAATGTAAAACATGTGTTTTCATGAGAATTTTAAGAAAACTGGCTAGAGAAAATGGGAATGAATGCATTTCTCCATCCACTATTGTCAGAGTTGGTTTATTGGTATAAACAATGGTGTTGATTCTCCAGTTGGGTGCCATGGTTTTTTTATGTATCTATTTCATAAACATTTTCAGTTTCCTAATTGCTCCCACAGATCGGACATTTTCCTGTCATCAGTGGATCTTTAGGTCACAAGTTTTAGTATTAAAAGACATAAGATCCTGCATAGATGCAAGAGAAACTACATGATTATGTCCACCTGTCTTGATCATGATTACTTATTGCTTAATTTGATCAACTATAGTGCTTTACCACTTCAGCCACCGGCAGCAGCTCATGTTGTTTCTCACTGTCAGACACTTTGCAGATGCATGGACAGCAGTTTTCTCTTTTCTCCTCTAAAAAGAAAGTACAATTATTATGATGAAAAAACTGGAGAGTGTATGTCTTTGTGTTTGAAAAATGAATGTGATTTGTGTGAAAAGATATGATCAAAAGTGTTATGTGATTTAAACTAACATCATTAGTAGAATTGTTTTCAAACTGTTAAGTTTGTGGATCACTCAATCATTTGGTTATCTGGGTCTTACCTGTGTTACAGTTATTGACTTTCTCCTGTTGTTCCTCCAAGTTGTTCTTCAGCCTGAGCTTCTCGTAGGAAGCAGAGTCTTTCTCCATGAGATACGTTACCAGAATCGTCTCCAGCAGGCTGAGCAGCATCATAGCAAAGATCACAATGCAGTAGGTCGCTGAAAGGATGAAACAGACAATAACAAGTAATGCTGTTTAATTCACAATCCAGTGAACAATACACCCTCAAAGTGTCAGTCAGTACCTATGAGAGGAGTCTTGTTGGACATGGAGGGAAGGATGTCATTCAGGATGAGCAGCAGGACGGAGATGGCCAGCAGCACGGTCACTTTGAAGCCCAGCTTCTCTCCTCGATGGTCTGCGATGAAGAAGGAGGCGATGTCCAGACTCAGGAAGAACAGGATGGGTAACAGGAAGTTGATGACGTGGAGGAGGGGCCTCCTCTTCATGGTGAACTAGGAAAAAGGGTCATGGTGATCAACAGGACATTTTGACATCTCTGGATTTAGAAATTCATCCTTGAGTCAAAGTGGACAATTCCAAATCTGATGAAATACCCTTTAAAGAGTTATCACAAAAAGGAGAATGGATGGACGAGACAAAAAACAACGTTAAAAAACGTGTAGCTGCTGCTGCTGCCTCTCAAGGCACTTGGATACTCACATCATTTTTACAGTAACTTGTTTTATGTAACTTGACAGTGTGAATAATGTCCCTGGTCAGAAATTCGCAAAACTGACTTGTGAATATTCGATGTCATTTACTTGTGCGCACAAAAACATAATTTAACCTATTCAAGAACACAAAATAGAAATAAATGCATTCACCCTTCTCACATCATACCTCCAGCTACATAGTGCATTATATAATCAATTAGCATCCCCTGTAATTACACCTACGCTCAATGTGTTCATATCGTATTAATCTAAGCATATGTTAATACGGTTAACACTGTTCACACAGCTCATATTACATACAGTATAAGCATATTCCTACCTACCACTCATGGTGTATTTCAAATGACAATTTCTCTACATTTTCCTCTGTAAATACTGTCTCGGCTCGTCTGGTTATATGCTTACATTTGTCTCAGAGCCTACGATAGGACAACATTTTATATAATATATATTCTGTATAAACTCACAGTGTATATGAGCTGTTCCCACTGTTTAATGCCGAAGGTGAAGTTGTTGCTGGAGATGGACAGATCGAGGAACTCCCACTCCCCCTGAGACTTCATCACCTCTCGGGAAAACTGGGTGGCTCGAGACGCGTTGGAGAAAGGGAAGATACGGAGCTCATCAACTGAGGAGAGAGGGAGGGAGTACTTTTCAGAGAACAAGCCAAACAAAGTAACCCGAGGCAGCCACACACACTCCCCCTCCTCACCGCAGTGTATCGCAGACCCAATGGAGATGGTGCACTTCTGTGTGTCGAAGGGGAACTTATGGACGTCCATCCTGCAGGTGCTGACCACCCTCAGGTCCTCTTCACAGGTGACTGTCCCATCGTTCAACACGTACATGTACGGATTCAGAGGGGAGTCATCCTTCTGTATCCTGACACACAAACACAAGTCATGTTTGAAGAACTGTAACTGTTCCAGATAAGCAGAGTGAATAGAGGATGAAGCTCCTTTACAGGTTAATGTGCTTGCTCTTCACAATAAAGAGAACTGGTGTGTATATTAATTATAGTGAGCACACAGGGTCTGTAGCATCAGCAAATATCAAAGTATTAAATTACAGAATGCACGTGAAGAAAGAAAAAACTCCCATTCTCTATCAAGAATTTCCATTCACTGCATTAAATACAATTATTCAAAATACTTTGCGCTAATTTTTTAACTTTGCTTTCTCAAACTTAAAGTCTGTTTTTGTGTCACTGCTTATGTCCTTCTTTTTTATTTCTCTATTCATAAGCACCAGTTTGAACCTGTGTGTGTTGTAGGCTCACATCTCATAGATGAACAGGTCTGGCATCCAGAGCATTTCTCTTGGAACTGAAATCGAATTTATTCCACAAAACTGATCGGGGTCCCATTTGATGCGTTCATTGTTCCACGTCTGCAGTAAATTAAAGGTGTATGACCAGAAAAATAAGTCCGTTTTAATAAAACAACAGCTAACCAACCAGTGTTGCCTGAGGTGATCAGAAAGAGAGATTTTGCGTTTAAATAGTAAAGACTCACCATTGTTGCCCAGACGAAAGGAATAAAAGTTTGTGTCTTCTCAATCTGGGAATAACACACACACATAAATCAGGACAGATCATATGCATGGCAACATTTAGCAGGTGAATCATACACCTACCACAGCCAGGATGGCGTAGAGGATGATGTCCAGCTGCACCACGGTTGGGTGTTTGTAGTTCAGCACGGGCCGGGTCAGTTTATACACGCCGCTATTGGTGGTGAGGTTCAGGTAGTCCACTACATCATGGTAACTGCACACTTTCTCAGAGAACGACCCGCCTGCAGTACAACGGAGAGCAGTTTGGTATTTAATCTTTCATAAAAAATAAATACGTTTTTTTCATATTTAATTTAATTTATAATTATTGATTGTTATTTGTTCATGTTTTTGCAATGTCTGGGTGTAGCAATTATTGTTGCTGATGATCAAAATGATGGATGGACAAAAGTGTGTAATAAATATATGATAATACTGTGTAAATTGACCAGCAAATAATAAATGTACACTGTTGTGCAGTTATGGATATCTCTTCACCTCCCAACTCTTTTATTTAACAAACTGTTGATAATTCTGTAGTTACTTGTTGAGATAGCTTAAAGATTAAATTACACTTATATTCACTATTGAAATGTATGCTTCGATAAATAGAGTGCTTTTGGATTCTTGGTTCATTAAGAAAATTACCTTCTTTAAATTAAGCATTATTTACTTCCTTTCAAGAACAGTACGTTATTTTTTTTCGAACAGCAAACTTAAGAAAGAAACCAAATAAGTCATGGCTTTGAGTTTGACCAAAGTTTAACCTTTTTGCTTCAAGATTAACAATTAAAATGTCAGTATGATATGAAATGGCTTTGACCATAAGCACAGGCTCCACTTCCTCACAGTTTATAAATCCGATACAAGCAGAGCTAGACTGATGGAGAATGTTATACTAAAGTTCATCATTTGACACTTTGATGTCAAATGAGGAAACAATAATATTTGAGAAACTTTTTGGAGGTAAAACACATAAACATGCTAATGCAGCACAAAGTCCTACCTGTGAAGACGATCAGGAGGAGAAAAGCAACGTGCGTCATGTCTGCAGCCGTGTGTGTGCTCCTGCTATGAGACCAGAGACTTTGAGCGGACACGGGCTGGGCTGAAGGACTGACCCCTGCCTGAAGTGAAAAACCCCTCCCACAATGCAGCATCATCAGGTCTTGGTTTGAGCCTCGAGTCAGGTGAAATTAAAGGTAACAATAAACCACGGGGAAAGCATGTGTGGAGGATTCATCCATCTGAAAGGACACATAATGTGGATTTACAGAAACTTATTTGACACAGGTGACTAACGGATAGTTATGTGAGTGCACACAGTTGCAAAACAGATTTCTACTGCAACACTTGCAGAGCAGCCCACGTCAAATGAGAAAGTACAATTCAATTAGAGTGGAACTTGATAACCAGAAGGAAGTGATAATTACATTCAGAACATTGCAGCCATTTAAAGCTACTTGTTCTAGTTGACTTCCCGCTTTCAGGCTCACCACAGCATTAAAGCTGCTTTATTATTCATGGAAGATGTGTTATTTTGAACAGTAAGTGACTTTGCAAATGCAAAAATGCTCATCTTAATGGACTGACGTTATTTCACTGAAGTTTATGAACAACTAATGATTTTCTTTTTTCATTATTCAATATTTCTGAACAATAATAATGGGTTTTAAATCCCATTCAATGTTTATCCTATTTTTGTATTCCCTAAATGAATCATTATTGGTACATTATTGGATGAATTTTCTGTCAACTGAGTAGCAAACAAGTTCTGAAAATATTTTAATTTCTGATGATATTTTTGTTATGTTGCATGCAAACCTTATTGTTGCAATAAACTGAAAAAATGGCACACTGTATAGGAATAGTGAATTAAAACGAGAGACTAACTATAGTGTCTATCTCTAAATCTGAAGGACATGTAAAGTATTTAACCTTTGTGTTGTGTTCGAAAGCTGTTATCGTTCATGGTGTTCGCGGGTCAATGTTGACCCATGATTTATCTCAGTCCAAAACACTCCAAAAATAATTACTATCATCCAATATTGTTACATCATAACTTATTATGCATTTATAACCGTACAATCCTGTTGTCATTTTATTTGATGGCCCCAAAACACATTACACCACATATTGCACACGTGCATGTGTGTATTCAGGTTCAAGCGTTAGTGTCATAATCTTTGTGAAAGGTTGAGTTCCCGTGGGGGGAGGGGGGCCAGAGACAGTGGAGACCAGGTGCATGTTGCGAAAAAAATTATTGTTACAGTGGATGAAGGGGTGGGGTGTCTAAAGTCAAAGATGAATCTTGATTGGGCCAAATATGACCCCGAGTCACCCACAACAATTCTGCTGGGACTCCCCAGACCCGAACATCAAATTATAGACTAGATCAGAGACCTTCCGATTTGGCTAAAATTGTAAAAATCTGTTTTATATAGCTGCTGTGGAGGATATCATTAAGCCTTGTTCCGGTAAAAAAAAAAACTAGAGCGTAGTTATTATATAATTTGAACTTGAAACGGGTCACGGGAGACCCGAACACAACATAAGGGCATGGTAATGGACATGTCTGTGTCATGTTTAAAGCTAATTTTGTTTGTACACTTGGGGGCAGTGCAACACAAATTAAACACAACAGCGACATATTATTACCTTTTGAAGTGAAAGAGTTGTTTGTGTAGGCCGGTTGGTGCTTAAGAGGAAGTTTACTGAAAACATACCTGCTGTGGCCTAATTCCACGCTTTTGAGAAGCATAGAGTGAAGAACAGTAGAGCTGCGGCTGTCAAACCGAAAAAAGGAGCTGCATGGTGCTCAAACAAGCTGAGGGGAAACTACAGGGTCAGAGATCGTTCTCTGTGAGTGGATCTTTTCACAATAAACACAGAGACATTCTCACGCCCATGCTCTATTGGTTACATAAACAGAGTCATTACTGCAGCAGCTACAACAAACAGTTTCCATTGTTTTTCTTCTTGTTTTATACTGGGTTCTTTCTATTATGTGTTATGTCTGTGTCATTTTGAAAATAAAGTTTTGGAACTGAAAGTTGGATGAAAATTATGCAAATTAAGAGACACATTTTGTATAGAAGATACATCTGTGCAGGACAAACAGAGTATAATATACATAAGGGAGGGGGGGAACTAAATAAACAATGTTCAATTGCAAACAAAGCTACGTAGGACAGATGTCTTTCCATCTTTGGGAAGGGTGGTGATTTCGAGTCCAAATAAGTTATTTTTACTAGTGACCAGGGTGGGAATTTCACGACGGCCACGACGGCCATGGCCGTCGTTGCCCCGCACTTTGGCCGTGATGCCCTGTGAAAAAAAATGCAATTCACGGCCAAAGTGGCCTTTGTGCCCCTGTCAAAAGTTCCAGTGTAAACAACGCTAGTGAAGTCATATTAGTGCGCGCAGTAGGATAGTCCCGTGCCTGTGGATCAGAGCGATTGCTCTGCTGTGATTGTTCCGTCAGACATGCCGTGTAAACAACGCTAGTGAAGTCATATTAGTGCGCGCAGTAGGATAGTCTCGTGTCTGTGGATCAGAGCGATTGCTCTGCTGTGATTGTTCCGTCAGACATGCCTGTAGGGGCCCGACAGCCTCCTCCTCAGCCGCGGGAACAAATCTCGAAGTTGCTTTAAAAGCGTCAGAACAGTGTTTTCATAACTGCATTATGCTGCGTTCACAACGGACGCGATGCGAACATTCTCATCGCTCTAACCGCTGGAGTTTCATCGCGGCTGTCAACTGTGTTTACTCCTGTCAATCAAACAGGACGCGCTGGAGAGGGGGCGGGGCTTATTTCAATGTAAATACTGTGGAGGAAACCAACTACGACAAAATTAACCTATTTTACCGTGATTTAATTGTAATACACGTTTCAAAATGATGCTGAAGTAACTACATACTGATACCGGTTAGTAAAAAACATGAATTAATGCTTTGCCAAGTCTGCAGACAAGACGGCAAGCGAAAAACCTTTTAAAATGCGTGTTTTCTGAATGGATCAATCAGGCTAAACTAACCTGTAGCTGCTCCGTCCACGCTCACAACAACGTCCTAAAGACAGAATTAAAGCAGCGATTGTATTCGCCATGACAGTCTGTGGTTTGTACATGTTTAACTTTTGTCCAGAGCTGTGAGCACACACACACACACACACACACACACACACACACACACACACACACACACACACACACACACACACACACACACACACACACACACACACACACACACTTTGACCCTTGAAGGCTGTTTCTTCTGCTCTGAAATTGAATATATTTGTTACATATTAATATAATTTTAGATGTTTTGATTTGATTTTGTGAATGGGAGAAGTAGATGGAAAACATCCCAAACACTAATTATTCAAAGTAAAGTATTTTATTTTATATACGGTAATACTAAGGAGGCATAGGCCTATATGATGATATAATGTTTGACATTATTGATATTAAAACAGTGATTTGTTTTTCTTATCAGAAAGTGAAGTTATTTATTTTGTAAGCTCCAAATCCAAATGTTTCCCTCAATGGCCTTTGTGCCCTGGCATGTGGCCTTTGCGCCCTGAAAAAATGTGTGACACCAAAGGCCAAATGGCCTTGCCCCTAAAATGACGAAATTCCAAGCCTGCTAGTGACAAAATACAAATTGAGCTCATTGGTGGGAAAATGCTGCAGAGCTGAGTTTGAAAAATGATTGTATGAGGCAGAAAGGAATTTTCCATGGCAGGACAAATCCCAGAGCAAATAACTGCACAGATTGATGAATCTCCAACCATTTAAAATGAAATGACTCAGTGACTGTTTAGTTGCAAAAACTTTATTGTCCGTTTGATGTTTTCTTTGACATTTTCACCCATAGTTCTAGAAAAGTGGGGGTCTTGCGGATTTGGACCCATTCCTTTGATATCATACTGTGACTGGTGCCAGAGAACGGCTTCATCTACACATTCGATCTGTGATCACATGACTGGTTGCAGCTTGGATATACTAATGCAGTCCTCCTGACCTCACAGTCCGGGTCGAGGGAGTAGGGCTCCTGAAACCGATAACACTGCAGAGGGATATGGTCCGGCTTTATGTGTGTGCAGCGATCCATCATCCAGTCTTCTATATGGGTGCAGGCGGACCTAGACTAACATGCTTACTCTATCGCCTCATGCACCACAAAGTGTGTTGTCTAGGAAACAGATAATAGTGCATTAAATGTTGATATTGTCGCTTTTTCAGTTTTTTGTTATGCAAGTGTGTAAAACCTTAACACATTTTCACATGTTTTCATCCACATTCTAGTAAACGACACAGTGTTTTGCAACAAATTAAAATTACGGGAACGGAGAACATCGACAACTTGTGAGCTATACATTAAAGTTTTACAAAACAAACAGCTAAAGGCTTCACAAACGAGGAGAAAGGGGCTCGTAGAGATTATGTTAATATGAACAAAATGCCAGCTAACAGTGTGGCCTAAATCTCACGTTTAGGTTCTCAAATTCACCGTATCATGTTTTCCTCACAATAAATCCCTTCCCAATGGCAAAAAAAAGATTAAACATAGAATTAGACACATTGAAATGTCTGGATTTGAATGCAACGGGCCAGTTTGAACTGCACATGACATGCAGCTCCGGCCTCGGTATTGCTTGGTGGTTCTTGTTGGATTCCAGTTGCACTATGATAATACTGACATGCTTAGAGGGAGCTGAAGAAAGAGAGTTTGGTGCGGTTGGTGTGTTTATAGAACCAGCTTAGGTGTTCAAAGTTCACGTTGAATTCCAGTTGAGATGACAATTTAAATGTCATGTACTTTCCCCTTCTAAGAGATCAACGTTCATCGTCTTACATTCTGTGTTTTTTTCCTTTATTTTCAGTCCATTTCTGTTCATTTTGGCCGCCATTTCCTGGCTCCTCTGCCGCCTTACAAGTCCAAGGCTGTTTGGAAAATAATGGCGGGAAAAGAGAAACATCTGCAGAGGTTGCATGCGAAGTGGAGACGGGCGCTCCCTGATCCGAAGAGACGAGTCAGCACGTTTTAGTTTGCCAAGGTAAGGTAGTCCGGTGTGTGCTGACTTTAAAGTAGTGTACAAACACTTGTTCAACATACAGTTTATAAGAGAGAAGAAGAAGTACATCAGTAATACATCAGATTGCCGATCACAGTAGCCCCTGACTGTTTGGCTTGTAAGAGAGGAGAGGAAAGGAGAGGAGAGGAGCAGCATGTATTTTTTAGAGATAGTGTCAGAATACAAAGCTCTCATTGGTTAGACCTACAGGTAATAAATAATAACATAGCAATGGGCTAAACACAACAAAAACGAAACAATAATGTTGAGCTAAAAGTGCACAGACGACATGTGATGCCCTTCTGTTCCTCTTTCCTCCTCTTTCTGCTCGGGAGGAGTTTAAGTGCCAGCAGCGACAATCAAGACAGTTGGTATAGGGGGGTGGGGGGGTTCCCTGCAGGACAATATCCAGCAATGCAGCACTATGGCAGGGTAAGCTGAGACTGGACGGAGAAGTCTGTGTTTCCGTGTGTGTTAGAGTGTGTTACACAATGAGTGGTCCGCGGCGGGGATGTTTGGGACTTTGGCCGTCCCGGTTCTCAGCCCCCTGCTCCTCCATGTTGATGTTGCTGGTGGAGGTGTGGTGGGCGGGGGGCTCCAAAACAGGCCTGTAGCCTCCGAGGTACATCAGACCTGAAGGAGAGAAGGAGACGAAGACACAGAAGAGGGTTATGTTGCAAAATTCAAACACACTGACAGGAATGTAAAACCCACCTTTATTTATCAATTAATACTTAAAGTAATGTCCCATACCAAACTGGCATAACATGCTGCTTTCAGCCTCTTAAATGTGGAGATGTCCTGCTTTTATATATTTTATATCATATTAAACATAATATATAACCTTGGACAAGAAGGACATCTTTCACTATTGATTGGTTAATCCTAAATATAATGGGCAGATTCATTGTTAACTCAAAGTATTGTTTGATGCAGCCTTACCTAGCAGAGTACTGTCTCACTATATTGTTTACTAATTTGGTTTATTATCATGCCAATACGTTTTCATCCAATTTCTTTCATCTGCATTTTCAGGTTGAATTAAAAAACCTACCTTCCTTTTTTTTTTTAAATAGTGACACAGTCAAGCAAACTTAATCTGACTGAAGTAGATGTAGACTAAAGCCTTACTTTAATAGCCTTATTACACAGAGAAAATGCACTAAAACACACACAAATTATATACAAATGATGTTCAACTATGAATCCCTTTTCAACCCCACCGTGTCACACTGCAGTCCTCCAGGCCTGTAACTGTAGTTAGAGGCATCTCAAAGGCTCACCGACCAACAAGAACTGAATAACAGTGAATATCAGCCAGGGGATCAAATTAATTATTGATAGTTGTATGTCTCGACCACGGAGGATATGAATAATGAATAGCATCGGCAATGAAAGCTGCCTCAGCTCAACTATTACTGTGCAAATTGAAAGTATGAGAAAATATCATATAAGGTAGGCTGTGATTGAGGAGAGATACATGCTGGACTAATAGAGAGAGACTGCATCAGAAGATATTTGATTACTGATTAAAACGGTATTGTGATGAACTGGTAAACACACAACAAGAGGATGATTGTTATGGTGCATGCAATCTACGAAGTATCCCCCTGGTGTCTGTTCTAGCATCTAGCCATAACTCCATACCTAGTCCTCAATGTGCACTGGGCACGACTCCTCATCTGTCCATCCAAAAGAAGGCGAAAGAAGGAAGAGAAAGACAAGGAGAGGAGAGAGATGGGGAAGAAAATGTCCAGGACAGCAAAAGATGTGAAGAATGACAGAGGGGAAAGGAAGAGAAACAAAGAGATAACAACACACTTTTACGACACAGAAAGAGAAAACATGTCACACCATCCACCATAAAGAACCAATGGGGGGTGTTAGGTTCAAGGGGGTGAAGGTAAATCAGGGTTTTGGAGTCTCAGCACTACCAGAAGGATGCAGAGCTAAAGGCTGTGAAGCAAGTTTGACCTCAACTGTTTAGAAAATAGTAAATCAACAAGAAAATTGGCACCTTTAGCTCTCATCGCAGTAACCTGCCGAGTGTTACAAAGCAGGGTGGAGGATAAGGAGAGGATGGAGGGAAGATGGAGGGCTGTGAGAATGAGTTGCAGATGTTTGGCGAAGCGGCTCGGAAGCTGGCAGACGCTGACATGAACTTCAAACTCTGGGATGGACCAGACTCTTAACTCTCTCACACTCAAACAGACCGTAAACACAGCATGCAGAAAGCTTTTTTCAGACACATAATAAGATACACGCACACACACAAACACAACGGCTCTGGCTAAAGCAGGGGAAGAGTGCTCAGCTAACCGGTGCTGAAGAAGCAATGAAGCAACACAACACCAAATAGGGTAGGGATGAAGAGAAGAAGGAAGGCTCCAGATCTTCATGCTAAGCAGAGATGCTAGTCTTGGTCGCTAACTCCTGCTAATTAAAACACAATTGTCTTGTTTCTATGTAGTTTTATATGCATTAGCATGTTAGCAAAGCAAGCTAATGTGTCAAAAAGCATTGCTTTTTACTCATGCACTCTTTCTCTCTTATTACCCTCCCCCTCATCTTCCTCACTCCCATGCCTAGTCCTCAGCTCTCATTGGTCCATGTTCGAGAGGTTGCCACTCACCGGCGAATCGGCTGTCGGGAGCCTGCTCATTATCCAATCCCAAAGAGGGCGTGTCACAGAGGGCGACGCCCTGATTGTTATTGGCCAACTCTGGACACCTGCTCCGCCCACCTGCAAGCGAGGGCAAAGGTCAAACAAGAGCAGCCAGGCACAGCAGGGGAGTGGGCAGGCGGGTGAGACGAGACTATAGTACATGAAACAGCAAGATCGGGAGGCGTGTCAACGAGTTGGAGGGTGGAGGGGTGATTTGGGCCATGCTGGAACGGCATGCGAAAATAATAAATTATAGCATACCTCTGCATTTCTAACACCAGTTCTCGACCTACAAAAGGTGAGGTTCTAAGCTTTTGGTGTTTTCCACTTCGCT